GGATGATCTTGTACATGGCGGGGTTGGTGAAGAAAGGCTCATCCAGCTCATTGTGGCCCCACTGACGGTAGCAGATCAGGTCCAGGATGATGTCTTTCCTGAAAAGCCGCTGGTACTCCACAGCCAGCCGAGTGGCCCGCAGCACCTCCTCTGCGTCATCGCCATTTACATGGATCACAGCACAGTTCACCATCTTACCTGTGAAACAAATGGGAACAGCACGATATATGAAACACTAACATTTTGAAAACAGATTTTGGGGTTCATCACACCTTGGTGATTCAAATAATATCAAATAGGTCCCCATCATCTATACTTTAAAAGAACGTAGCGAATATTTAGTTTTCTTTATATGGATGCTATTTACAAGTTTCACTGACCGACATCACTACAGTACAAAGAAGATCTCCCTCTCTCGGATGGAGTGGTATAACCCACTTGGTTGTTCACAATGAGGTGGATGCTCCCACCGACTCTGTAGTGAGGGAGGTTTGAAAGGGTCAAAGTTTCTGGAACAATCCCTTGGCCGGTGAAAGAGCCATCACCATGGACCTGTGGAGAAGAGAACAGAGATGGTTTTAACACTGCAGGAAGGTTTGAAGGACTTCTTTAACTCCCTGCTTCACTTTAACACAATTTCAGACATTCTACATTGCTGAACAGAGAATGTAAACGTCTCTAACATTATGACCTAAAGGCCCAGAGGGGTTTAGTGTCATTACCTCCTGCAGAGTATGAACCGCAGATCAGAAGAGAAGCGTAATGAAGGCATTCAGATGAAATATATCGGAGGTCCACAGCTTGTGAGCAACAGTGGCTGTGTACACATTTGTTTCTTAGTGGATCTAATCAATTTTTCTGGTGTTTTTGACTGCAAATTATGTTTAAGCCACTGCTACATCTGATAAGTTGGTTTAAAGAGATAAGAATGTTTAACACATTCATTATTTTCTGTCAGATAACCATAGGAACATTGAAACAGGTTTTGCTTCTTTTAATCATTCCTCCTGTTCACACTGGTCATTTTGAGATCCATTTCGGAAGTGTTTCCAATGTAAGTGATGGGATAAATTAAAGAGTACTACTACTAATGAATATTAAATAGTGCATGTATTGTGAGGGCCAATGAAACAGAAACTATAAAAAAATACCAATATAGTACTACTACTAAAAATAATAATAATACCATTTATCATCTCTCATGTCATTGCTATCAAAATAATAATGATAAACAGGGCTCTCCTACATAGGAAAATAACAATTTCTGACACGCCAACTGTAACTACAGACACAGCACTTTGATAAACACGGCATTAGCTTTGTGCTGATTTAGCAACGGGCAGAGTTATCTGCGGTTGGCGATGTTAGAAAATATTTAGAAGTAATAAATTAGAGAGAAATGAGAGGACCAGTTGCTAGAACTGCCAAACTTTTTCAGAAATAAATCTACAATCACGTCCGTCAGCAGCGTATCCTCCTCCGTAACATTAAACATACCACTGTGAGCCTGGAGAGGACAGTGAAAAATGGGAGGGTTATCAAGTCTGGTCTCCGAAGAGGAAAAGTGATGAGGGCTATTTTTATTATTATTTAAGTCATGTAACGATGTGACAAAAGACCAACTCACCGGGAACAATGAGTGTGAGAGCTACCAGGAGCTACTCACCATAGCTCGGTAGACTGCTGTCAGCTGATGTTTTGTTCTGTGGTGCTGCAGTGTAGTTAACAAATGAGCTGCAGCGCACCCACTGGTGGGCAAACTATGCAACACTCATGACATGAGGGAAGGATCCGACTCTCTGTTTCTCTTTTTAATAGTCATTTATCGGCTGTTATAAACACTATAACAGAATACTTATGACCATGTGATATTTCAGTTTTTCTTTTTTAATAAATTTGCAAAAATTTCTACATTTCTGTTTTTTTCTGTCAAGATGGGGTGCTGAGTGTACATTACTGAGAAATAAAATGAACTTTTTTGATTTTTGGAAAATGGCTGCAATCAAACAAAGAGTGAAAAATTTAAAGGGGTCTGAATACTTTCCGTACCCACTGTATATCTGCGAGTAGCTTATATCAGCGAAATGATAAATTGGTCAGGCTCTAGTATACACCATATAACCATCATCTTCCGCTATGTATTGCATGTCTTAATCCTCTCACTCTCTCCCCATGTTTCCTGCCAGTCTCTCCTGTCATCAAATCAAAATAAAAGTATTACATTGCTCTTCCTCTTCTTTTAAACTTAAACTTATTGGCTGCATGTATTCGTTGTTGTGAAGCGGTACCTGCAGACAGACGACATGGTCCCCCGGCTGGGCGTTGTCTTCAGGTGAATAATCTCCTTCTTTCCTGAGCTGCTGCCTGGCTCTAGTTTTGCCCTGAGCCACGGGGTTGATCGCCTCCAGGTGAGATGGGTTGGGCAGCATGGTCACATGGAGAGGGTGTCCAGCTCCGAAATCCAACTCCACTGAGGAGGTGAGGTGGGACAGGACGTCCCGATGGCAGGGGAGGTATCGGGGAACTCGCTGAGGCCTCGCATCTTACGGAACATGAGCTGGACAGAAAAACAATGCAAGAACAGTGTTGTTTGAGGTTATCTAACCGTTTTTTGAACTTTGGCAGCTGGCTGTGACTTTCTGTTTCCTTGTGCTGCTGATTACAGTAGTGCAAAGTAAACAATCTAATCTTGTCATGGATAATTCATTAAGTGTGACTGTCTAGGGCTGATTAACCTCGGGTGGGAACTTCAGCAGGCCTGTCAGGAGGTTGAGTCGGCCTCTGTGGGGCATGCCGATGACAATGTCAGTGACTCCGCTGTGGGCGAACTGGTAGAAAAGCTCGTGGAAGAAGCCCATCATGCTCTCTGCTCCTTCTCCTCCATAACGTTTCACAGTGGCAAACTTGGTGGCCAGAAAGTGGTCAAATTCCTACAGGTTGTGAGAGAAAAGGTAAAGAAAGACACGGATATATGAAATACGTGACATTAACATATGAAATGTGATAAGGACGTGTCAAATAATACAGTACATTTTATTTGCAGTTTATATAAATGGATGTTATCCTCCTTTTTCTTCTTGGCATTACCTGAGATTCCAGCATGATCTTGGCCAGCTGCCTCCTCTCCTCGGTGGAGAAACTCTTCTTCTTGAGTTCCTCAAAGCGGTCAGCGAACCACTCCCTCTCCTCTATGCTGCTCAGCTGGCTGGTCTCCACTGACAGGTGGCCACAGTAGACTTCTTCCAGGTAGGCCTGAACCTCTTCCACTGAAGCCTCCGCTTTGCCAAAATGTCGTAGACCTGCAGAAGCACACATAGGGGAGTGATAAGTGAACAGAGGGGGCATTGTTTTGGGTTTAAGTTTCTACAGTTGAAAGGTAAAACCATCCTCCAACCCTTTCCATCCTTAGGTGTATTAAACAATAAAACATTAATAAAATCGTTGTTCTTTGTAGATCCCGGCCAATATCAGCAATCTGTATCAGTGTTTATAACAGCTGATAAATGTCAATTAAAAAAGGCAACAACGCGCGCTTGGAATGCCACAAAACGCAGCAATCAGCTGACATAATCAGCTGTGATTTTGTTCAAAGTATTATTTGTAACAATAAAAAAACTTAAACTGCATTATGTCATGTTATCTTGGTGAGGTCTCAAAGCTACACTTAAAAAATGTTAGGGATAATCGTTGTTTATGTTATGTGTTTCTAAAAAGAAGAAGAAAAAAAGCCGATATATCGGATTTTAAAATATAAAATTTGCCAAATACTCAGATAATTGACACTGTAAGCATTAAATATGATATAAATGAATAACTAATTAAAAGTATGAAATGAATCAAATACATTTTTTTACGTTCTGGCATCCTCCAAAAATAATCATAGAGTAAGTTTATATGCATGCGATTTTGTCTTTCTGACAACTTATCTGAAAGATCTATTTACTAATTACTTTAAAAATTAAGATTTTTGCACAAAAAAACATATGAAAATGTACAAATACAGCTGAAAGTCAATACATCCACTGACAGAAAATTTACTGGGAACTAATTTGATAACCGTTTCGTTATTTTTCATGCAAAATCTTTTCATGGTTGCAGCTTCACAAATGTGAGGATTTGCTGCTTTTCCTTTTAATTATATTTATTTATTTTTAATAATTTTGAGGTTTGGACTACCGGTTGAACAAAACAAGCACTTCTTAAAAAATCCTACTTTTACATTAATGCATTTGTAATAATAATATTAGTCCTATGATATAATATATAATAGTAGTAGTAATTCCAAAGGACAATTTTCTACATCTGTACATTTAAAACAGTTTCAATGCAGGTTGTTTCTTTACAGTGCGATATTAGTACTTTTACTTAAGTAAAGGATCTGAAAATTTCCTCCACCACCTTTACTTGCAA